TCACCCGCACAGACAGCAGCAGCACAGGCAGCTCTCTAGCCCGAGCTCTTGCTGCAGCTGCGCACCTGCACCAGCACCTGCAGCTGCTGTAGCAGCTGCTGCTGCTGTTGCTGCTGCTGCCGCAGTCGTTGCTGCTTTGGCATCGACTGTCAGCCAGGCTGTCTTTGCTGCTGCACTGCTGCTGCTGCTGTTGTTGCTGCTGCTGCTGCGGGGGATCGTAGAGGGGCAGCTCCAGTGCATGCACAGCCACACCTGCGGATACACCCCAAATGAGAATCTGCTGCAGCGGCGGTGCTGTTATTGCGTAGAGGTAAGAGCAGCAGCAGCACACATCAACGAAGCGCTGAAGCGGCAGCTGTTTTCTCTTGCTGGCGCTGCTGCTCCTGCTGCTGCTGTTGCTGTTGCTCGGCTGAGGCAAGGAGACAGGCAGCTGCAGCATGAAGCGACGCATGAGAGAGACACCAGCAGCACCGAGCTGAAGGCGGAGACAAACGGCATCATTCAGCAGCAGCAGCAAATCGCTCCGCCCGCTCACAAGAAGCCTCCAACGGTCGCTGCTGCTGCTGCTGCTGCTGCTGCTGCTTGAGTGTGCTGCCGCTTTTCGCGTCGCCTCCCGCTGCTGCTGCTGCTGCAGTGGGGGAGCAGATGGATCCGCAAGGGCCTTGAGGGCGCACAGTGAAAGAGAATACAACAAGATGCAGTTGCAGCAGCAGCTGCTGCTGCTGCTGCCGCTGCTGCTGCCAGAGTGCTGCTTATCTAATTCCCACTCAAGCAGCAGCAAACTGTCCCCTTGAGCATCCGATGCCTCTACAAAAGCTGTCCCTTGCCAGTATCTACTGCTGCTGTTGCTGTTGCTGCTGCTGCCGTTGCTGCTGCTGTTGTTGTTGTTGTTGCTGCTGCTGCTGCATGAGTCATCGTTGCTGCGCTTCAGCTGTAGTGCTCGCCAGGGCAGAAGGGGAGCATCAGGTGTACAGACACCGCGAAACACAAACAGCTGCAAGGAATCTCGGCCAAGACAGCACAATACTTGCGTTCGCTGCTGCTGCTGTTCCTGCTGCAGCTGCTGCTGCTGCTGCTGTGGCAGATGAATGGGGGGGAGCTCGGCCCAAACAGCAGCAGCGCAAGCGCGCATCAAAACCCCCTTCTTTGTGCTCCGCTTCCTGCTGCTGCTGCTGCTGCTGTTGCTGCTGGCGTCGTCTGTCTGCTGCGCTGCCGCCTGTCC